TACTATGAGTTACTGATTTCCTGTGTGTTCCTCCACCATATAATGAACTTGAAATATTTTCTTTGAACTGAACAAAGTATTTGAATAGATTCTTCCTATGAATTATTCATTTCCTATGTGTTCTTGCACCATGTAATGAACACGAGATCTTTTGGTTCTATGCAAAGAAAATAAATGGACAGAATCATACTATGAATTTTTCATTTGTTCTGTGTTCGTCAACTACTTAATGGACTCAAAGTCATTTGGTTTAACATAACAAAATAACTGAATGAAATCTTACTATGAATTATTCATTTCCTGTGTGCTCCTGTACCATGCAATAAACTCGAGATCTTTTGGTTCTATGTAAATAACATATATGGATAGAATCATACTATGAATTTTTCACTTGTTCTGTGTTCTTCAACTACTTAATGAACTCGAAATCATTTGTTCGACCATAACAAAATATCTGAATAGAATCTTACTATGAGTTATTCATTTCCTGTGTGTTCCTCCATCATATAATGAACTTGAAATATTTGCTTCTAACTGAACAAAATATTTGGATTGAATCATCCTATGAATTATTCATTTGTTCTGTGTTTTTCGACCATGTAATGAGCTCGAAATCTTTGCTTCAAAGTGAACAAAATACTTAAATAGACTTGTGTTTTGAATTATTCATTTGTTATGTTCTTACACCGTCTAATGAACTGGAAATGTTTGCTTTGAACTGAAGAAAATACTTAAATAAAGTTTTGGTAAGAACTATTCATTTGTTGTGCGTTCCTAGACCATGTAATGTACTCGAAACCTTTCCTCCGAAGTAAAAGAAATACTTGAATAGGATTTTTGTTTGAATTATTCATTTGTTGTGCGTTTTTACACTTTGAAATGAAGTTGAAATGTTTCCTTTGAATTCAGCAAAATATTCGAATAGAATCTTAATATAAATTATTCATTTGTTGTGTGTTCCTCCACTACGTCATGTACTCGAAATCTTTGTTTCGAACTAAGAAAAATATCGGAAATGAGTGTTTGTTTCAACTGCTCATTTGTCCTGTGGTCCTCCATCATGTAACAAACTCTAAATCTTTACTTCGAACTGGTTAAAATATTTGAATAGAACCTTGATATGAACCATTGATTTACCGTGTGTTCTTCTATGACGTAATGAGCTCAAAATCTTTGCTTTAAACTGGACAAAATATTTGAAGAGACTCTTGCTATGAATTGATTATTTGTCGTGTGTTCTTCCACTATGTAACAAACTCTAAATCTTTGGCTTGAACTGAACAAAACATTTGAATAGATTCTTCCTATAAATTATTCATTTGTTGTGTGTTCCTCCCATATGTCATGGACTCTAAATTTTTGCTTCTAGGTAAGCAAAATATTTGAATAGAATGTTACTATGAATTATTCATTTGTTGTGTGTTCCCCCACTACGTCATGTGCTCGAAATCTTTGCTTCACATTGAAGAAAAGATTTGAATAGAATATTCCTATGAATTATTCATTTATAGTGTGTTCCTCCATCATATAATGAGCTCGAAATCTTTCCTTCGGACGGAACAAAATATTTGAAGAGAATCTTCCTATTAATTATTCATTTGTCGTGTGTTCTTGCAGCATGTAATGTGCTGGAAATTTTTGCTTTGAACTGAGCAAAATATGTGATAGGAATATTTGTTTGTGTGGACCATTTGTTCTGTGTTCCTCCACCTTATAATGAATTTAAAACCTTTGCTTCGAATTAAGGGAAATACTTGAATAGAGTCTTTTTATGTATTATTCATTTGTTGTGTGTTCTGCTATCATATGATGAACTTGAAATCTTTGCTTTGCACCGAGCAAACTATTTGAAGAGAATCTTCCTATAATTTATTCATTTGTTGTGTGTTCCTCCACCATGTCATGGACTCTTAATCTTTGCTTCGGACTGAATAAAATATTTGAAGAGAATCTTGTTATGAGCTATGCATTTCTCGTGCGTTGCTCTATCATGTAATGTGCTGGAAATCTTTGCTTTGAACTGAGCAAAATATGTGATAGGAATATTTGTTTGTGTGGACCATTTGTTCTGTGTTCCTCCACCTTATAATGAATTTAAAACCTTTGCTTCGAATTAAGGGAAATACTTGAATAGAGTCTTTTTATGTATTATTCATTTGTTGTGTGTTCTGCTATCATATGATGAACTTGAAATCTTTGCTTTGAACCGAGCAAACTATTTGAAGAGAATCTTCCTATAATTTATTCATTTGTTGTGTGTTCCTCCACCATGTCATGGACTCTTAATCTTTGCTTCGGACTGAATAAAATATTTGAATAGAATGTTATTAGGAATTATTCATCTGTCGTGTGTTCTGCTATCTTATAATGAAGTTGAAATGTTTGGTTTGAACTGAACAAAATATTTGAAGAGAGTCTTCCTATGAGTTATTCATTTGTTATGTACTCATCTATCTTGTAATGAACTAAAAATGATTTCTTTGAATTGAACGAAATATTTAAATAGAATCTTGCTATGAATTATTCATTTGTCGTGTGTTCCTCCATTATGTGATGAACTCGAAATCTATAGCTGGAACTGAGCAAAATATTTAAAATGAATGATTGTTTGAGCTGACCATTTGTTGTGTGTTTCTCGGTCATACAATGAACCCGAAAGCTTCCCTTCGAACTGAATCAGATCCTTGAATAGAATCTTGATGAGAAGTAATAAGTCGGGTATGTACTATTCAAAGACTGTAGTTGATGTTTCATTTCATGAATCATACTTGATCTTTGAGATTACTTATACTGAATACGTTTACTATTTTTGCTTTGTAGGATGTATGATGGCACGATCTGGAACATACATAAGAAGTCAAATATCGCCATCAACCAACATGAACCTAAAAAAACTTTATCAATTAGCTAGCTTTTTTTTCTCATCTTCTTTACTTTTCCGTTTTTTTATTATTTATTCTCGCATACTTTTTCTTTTTCTTTTCTGTTTTTTTATTATTTATAATCGCATATTTTTTATTTTTATTTTTTCAAATTTTTTTCTAATTTTGCATTTCAATAAAATCAAAAGCTGAAAATATACTATTCTTTGCTTCTTGAAAACAAAACTAAATATTTATAACAGACGTGAGCAACGTTTTAATGTCTTTCGATGCTCAAAAATATTAAATACATTATAAGTTTCGTAAAATGTGAGAGTGTAAGATTCTACAAAACAATTGATGAAAACTATCAAATAAAATCCTGATTTAAATTTTTGTTAAACTTTTCTACTGAAAAGAGCAAACAGTGTTCATAAAATTGACGCGTTCATACTGTTTTTTCAACAATTATGAAAAGTCAGCATCTTCTTTTGAAAGTATATCTTACAGTATACAACTAGAAGTATATTCTTTTCTTTATTTCACAAGGCAAACTTCGAGGTTCCAATATTTTTTATTGGCGTTAGTAGAGCTTCTAACTATATCTTTTAAATAAACCATAATAAAAACATTCATTTTTTTCTTTTACTCAATATACTGCATAATAATTTTTTTATAATTTCCTTCTATCACTTTCAATAGCACATGTCTTCGTTTTCGAAGGACGTCCACCATTCTGAGTTACTAATGAAAGCAATCAAGCATGGTTTGATGTTTACATTTCTTATTCTAAGTTACACGTATTCAAATGAAGCAGAGGAAAAAAAGAAAAAGAAAGAAGCCTGACAATTTCATACAAAAAAAAAGACGCAAAAGCTATCATTACTCATCGATTTATTGAGTGCACGAACAAATTTTAGAATGTGCGTATGAATGGATATCTTCTTTTTAGTCATTTTAATAGTTTGAAAAGACTTTTGTTTCGATCTGAAAGTATAATAAATGGAGATAAGAAAAAAAATATTGAAGTAATTTTATCTAATGCAGCATGTTTAACCGATATGCATGAATAATTTTCATGTTCGTTTTTGTATCAATGTCTTGATACAGTTATAACTTCATTGAACTGTTATACATAAGCATTATTTCAATGCAAATTTAAATATTCAAAAAAATTCGATAATTATCAACTTTTTAAAACTATTAAGTTAATCATAAAGAACTAAATAAACTATATGGACAGTAACTTCTTGATTATTTATCAATTTAATTGAAATTTATTATATTATTTTATCGACTGTATAACCAAAACAATATTGTCATAAGATATTTTTTATTTATTAGAAATGAGATTTAAATATCAACAGTTTTATTTAAAGGATTTTTTAACAGAAGTTTAATGTTCAGAGAGGAACAATCAGCTATGAAATATATAATTTCATTTTTGCATCAGAGAAAATATCATATTCATATAATCCAATTAATTAGTTCAAGTTTGTCGATCTGTTTATAAAAACTTTAAAGTTATATTTCATTATTTTTAGAGAACAATTTAATTAAAAACTCTTTTTTATACTTTAGAAAATGATACTTCATGAAGAAGATTATGATAAAGCAAATATTATTTTAATTTTTGGTAATCAATGTGATTTACAAGCTCTACTTGATTATATTACTTATTTATACACCCCAGTAAATGAAATATTTCAGATAAAATATTTTAGATTTTTCTTTTTTTATTTAGTCAAATGAAGTTTTACCGTATTCTGGTATGTCAACAATTAGTATATATTTATTAAATTTATTTAAACATCCAATAATTAGTTGGCTTGATATAAAACCTCATTTTATTATTAACGATATTAGCGAAATAAAAACTATTGATCAATGCCATTGAATGTTTCTTTTCATATAATTGTTTTTGATTTACGTAGTCGAGAAGAAGATATTTGTGTTTGTTGGCCATTATTCTCTTTATTATATTGTTCAATAAATCTTGATGATAAATCATTAATTGGAATATTATTAACAGAAACTTTTACCAATGATAATCGCTTATTAATATTATATGAACAGTTTTATCATATTCTGCAAATGTACCTATCATTATTAATAGATAAACAATTAAATTTAACATTTAAAAACATGATTGTTTAATACAGATGAAAATATATTAAAATATCTATGTCGTGTATTACATATATTAACAATAGATTGTTTTTCATTAAAAAGTATAGAACTTCATAAAAGTTACACAAGAATATCAAGATCGTATATTTGAAAATGAAATTGTTTTATTCATTAGTCGTGATGTTATTAAATCAAATTTACTTGATTATATTTATTCAATATTTTTTAGAAAAAATCCATCGTTTCGTTTTGAACACCGTTTAAATGCATCACAAAAAAAATTATATTAAAAATTTTAGCATCAGTTTAAAAAGTACGTTATTAGAATTTTATAAAACAATTCAAAGGAAAGAAGAACCAAAAAAAATTTTAAATATTAAAATTGTTTCAACAATGAGTGCAAGAGAATTAACTAAATATGTTATAAAACGTGCTCGAGCACAATTTAATGATGGAGAAAAATTAAATCAATGAAAATGATTTTGAAAAATATAACAATAGTAGAAAACTATGAAGCTCTCATTTTTTTTGTACAACTATATTAAAAATATAGTAAAAATATTTTAAAATGTGGAGAAAAGTTAAGAGAAGATGCACACCCTTATGTGTAGCACTATTATTCATTTGTTGGATGTTGTATATAAAACATGATAATTTCGAAAAAATATCCAATATACTTGCACGAATAATAAGTGCAGTACAATTAGAACAAGAAACAAAATCAATATTTCAGTTTCAAAGCTTTTGATATGATTTAACTTTAAATAATTTTATTTAAGTAGACAAATACATTACAAACAAAGACATATATAATATTATTGATCGTCATTTTATATTATTTTGTTGACTTATGTAAAGCTAATTAAAAAGAATAATAAAAATTAATATTATTTATAAGTTACACTTACTCGATTGAATGCATTTAATAATTGATCTATTTTTTAGAAAAGTGCTCAATTGGATCAGAGTATTTTGCACGCAATTGTTCATATCTTAGCTCAAATGATTCGAAGTCATGTAATTTTCCCCACCCTAATATAACAAAGCATTTCAATGACACAAATTTACAATCCGTCTTATCTATCCCCAATGTTGAAATTTATGAAGCATAAATTCAAAAATTGTCTGATCTTCATTGTACTTAATTTTTGTATTATTGCGAACGATACGAAAAGTATCATTAATAATAGTAATAAATATACTCATACAGATAAATATAACAAATAAGAAGAATAAACTAAAATAAATGAATTCAGGCATTAGTGCAGCATTTGTTAATTCATATGCATCAAATTTCATTAACATCATTTCAAAAAGCGTTTGTGCTGTATGTAATAATGTTGAACAACTTGAAATTTTATCAGAAAATAATAAATAAAATAATGTAAGAAATGCCATAAATACAAATAAGAACATAAACATAAATGAAAATAAATCTTTTTTAGCATATTGAAGTGTTTTTGTAAATAATAATAAACGTTGATGAAATCGACAAAGACGAAGAAATTTTAAAGTACCAAAAAAACAACAAAATGCAAGTAAATAAGTTAATATATCATTAACACATATAAGTACTTGTAAATTAATATAAGCATATCCATTTGTTTGTTGAAAACGATTTCCAATAGAAATTGTTTGTTGATATCGACATATATAAACTCCTAATATTCCCCATGAACAACCTATGATACCAATATCAATATCAGACCAAAAATTATAAAAATAAGATAATTTTATTCGAAGAACACTTTTTATTTCTATTATCATATGATAAATTATAAAGAACATATAAACTATTGTACAAATTAATTGAAATGATGATATAAAAACTAAAAGCAAAAGAAGATCAAGTTTATGCATAAAAAGAAAATCTAACCTTGAAAAGTTATTGGTTCAACACGATATTGTGGTAATAAACCACCTGTTGGTAAAAATTCTGTAAGAAATTTAACTGAAGTAAATAATTGAACATTTGGATTATATAAAGTTAATTGAAGAAGAATTGCTCGTGTTTGACTATCAATCCAACTTAATCGATGAAGTTCAGATAAATTACTATGAATATCAGATAAACGACCTTGATATTCATATATATAACCACCTGAATTATACGTTCCATATTTACCAATATATATATATTGATCATAATTCTCTCCATTGTCATATAGGAAAGCTCGAATAATTGAAGAATTTGAATACTCATTTGTTTGATTTAACCATCCAGGAGTATATGAATTTTTATCTTCATTAAAAAAACTATAATCTTCATTACATTTTAAAGATAATTTTGTAGGACATAAACTTGTTTTTACACGTAATTGTCTCATTAGAACTCTTCCAATTAAACGATTAGATTTATCATTAATAAAACCATTTAAATTTTCAGGTGCTTCACCATTATACCATTGTTGAGCATGAATATTTAAAATAAAACTATTTTCTAACCAATTCCAATATTGATCAATTGTAGAAATCTAATCATTGAATAACATATATTATATGAAAATAAATAACTCTTACTTTCGTATAATCATTATCAATCTGATTTGTATTTAAAAAATATTTTTGTAAATGATTTACTTGAAAAAAAGCATTTGAATTCATATTTGTATAAGTAATAAGATATATCAAGATTAGACAAAAGAAATAGAATACAATTTCTCGTATTATTTCCCACATACGTATTTCTTTTAAACGTTGATCACGAATACAAGCTAATTCACTTTCATTTAAACGAACATTACGAGTTTGTGAACAATAAGTCAATGGAGATTCTCTTGAATGTAAATATTCTTCATTATGATTTAAATCAACATTATCATCCAAATATTCAGCTGCTTCGTTATCTTTGTCTGATTTTCGAATAAAAAAAGCAAAGAAAATTGCTAATGCAACAATCTATAAAACATACATATACATTTTATTATTAAAATAAATAATTACTTTTAATGGTTGAATTAAAAATATGGAGGAAAAGAAACCACTTAGAAGTGATGTTAACCATTTTTGTGTTTTTAAATCACCAAATTGAATACCACGAACGATTATGAAAAATGATGATACCAGGACTAATATAAATGATAAACTATAAGCAAAAAATAAACACCACCAAGGAAACATCAGTTGTGATCGTTTCGTTTTATTTGATTTTATACTAAAGCAAATAAATAAATATGAAAAATGAAAAGATTTTACTACACTAACGATTGTCGAGGTAATATTCGTCGAAAGAATTGAACGAGTAATAAACTTGGAAAAAATGAAAGAATTTCAACAATTATACCAATACTAATCTGTTGAGAACTGATATAGAATGGACCAAATGATAAACTTCCATCTGTCTGATTTGTATTTGTTTCATTTGTTTGATCATAATAAAGAATATTTAAAAGCATTGCAGTAAAAAGTAATACAAAACAACAAGTACATCGTTGAACACATGTAAATTTATTTGATGGTGGACGAGAAAATATTGAAAACCAAAGATGACCTTCTGTTATACTATGATATGCTTGTTTTGATAACACATAAGAAAATTCATGTTTTTGTAATTCACCCGCTATTGGTAAAATTCGTTCAATCTAAATTTTTGTTTTTATAGAATAATTCTTTAATAAATTATGAAAAAAATATTTACACGTCCATCATTTTTTTCTACAGCAAACCATTGTTGACATATAAAATAAGATTTTTCCATTGTCTGTAAATCACGAACAATAATATATTTAAGAAACCATGATGCTTTATCATGTTGACCACTATTATCATGCCAAATACGCATATAATTCAATAGTCCTAATGATCTAAATATGTCATATCTTTTAAATAATCCTTTTAGTAAATGAAATTCTTTACTTTGGAACCGCCATAATAAAAGCATCGATTCCACCACGTTGCAAAATTTTTCGATGTGGATCAGAAAAAGTACGAACTGCTGTTTCATCTTCTTCACCTGCAAGAATAAAATGAACCTAATGAAAGGTTTTTTTTTGAAATATTCTATTTCTTTTATTATACTTTTGAATTTGTTCCAGCATTTGCTCGATGACCAGTAAAAACAATCATTTGATAAAAATATTGATCAGTAGAATAATTATCAGATAATGGTGTTACACCTAATTTTTCAAGATCTTTTTTATCTTTATAACGTGCATAGATAACTATTAATATATAAAGTATACAAATACAAATAATAGTTAAATAAATTGTTTTAGTTCTTGAAAAATCAGCATTATCAAACACATTCCAATTGATAGGTAATGGTAAAACAAGAAATCCACCTGCAAATATTGTTAAATAATTTGGAAAACATTGAGTTTGATAATGATTCGTTTCAGATCCAACCTTTTATTAAATATCAATAATTTTCTTTGTCTAAGAGATCTATAATACTTACTAATATTCCATCTGTTTTCCAAATCAAATTTTTATTTAAATAATAACAACATGCTGTATAAGTTCTTAATTCGTAATTTCAAGTAAAATTAAATGGTTAATTTGATAATAGTAGATTACTATTAATAGATTGACTTATACAAAAAGTTTCATATTCCGTTAAATTTAATTCTCGTAAACCAAATTTAATTGATTGATGGCCAAGTGTTTGTTCATTATTAAGAAAACATTTATAAAATTTATCATTTGCTAAACCTAAATTAAAAATAAAATATTTTATTTAGAAAAACAACTAAATTCAATTACCTTAAAGGACAAAGAAGTAGTCATCCATCAATTTGATTAATTGAAGTATCAAATCTATAGATTAATAAATAACTTTGATTGATATTTAAAGATTTCATTTCAAAAATTAATGAAACACTTCGATTATTATTCCATTGTGATTGTTGAAGATTGATAAAATGAAAATTAAATATTTGATAATGAGAGTTCTTTTGAATGGAAGTTACATTTTGTAAAGTCATTGATGGAATAATTTTATTTGGATCATGAGGTATTATTAATTTAATTTTTTCATTAAGATTTGTTCGAAGATGTGTTTCATTTCTACAACGATCTAATATTGTTAATGAGACTGATCTTGATAGATTTGTATTTGATTGAGTATTGTTAGCTAATGCAAGGGTTGGGTCATTGACTAAAAAGTACAATGGAAGATAATGATTAAAATAATAGAAAAAATTACAATAAACTCGAAGTGAAATTGATGAATTATCATTTGTAGTTAAATTAAAAGTGGATGGAATATGAATCTGAGTATTACCACTTTGTTGAACAAATTTATTTGATAAGGGACAAATACACTTATCGACCCCCCTTTTTTTATGATCTAGTTCGACTAATTAACTACTGGGGAGTTCATTAAAATTATTCCTACGAGTGCCAGACCAATAGTTTGTGATATATATCAAAATTAAAACTTGAATTTAACACTGCAGAAAAGCCTTATTTTTTGAAATAAAATATAATGAAAGTATAAAAAAGCGTGTAGACGTGGGTTTACGTCAAGAGAAGAGATATCCACACTCCCGCCTTCACCCACATTTACATCCTCAATCACACCCATGCCTTCAACCACACTTATACCCATACCCACCCTCATCCCCTCACCCGCACTTACACCCTCACCCACACTTACAACCTCACCCACACTTAAACCCTTATCCACACTTACACGCACACCCTTTTTTATACTTTTATTATATTTTATTTCAAAAAATAAGCCTTTTCTGCAGTGTCAAACTTAAGTTTAAATTTCCATATACATCGCAAACTATCGGTCTAGTACTCATGGGAATAATTTTAACGAACTCCTCAGTAGTTAATTAGTCGGACTAAATCATAAAAAAAGGGGGGGTCGATAAGTGTATTTGTCCCGTGAATTGTTCATCAATTAGACGATCAATACAAGTAGTAACTGTAATGAAATAAGATAAAATTTTTGCTCGTTTAAACATAGAAAGCATAAATCGTAAGACTACAACTAAAGGATAAGGTCTAAGACAAATTAAAAAAGCATCTCCAAATTTTTCTTTCAACATGGTAAAAACTTCATGAACTACTACCGGACCTGTTGAAATACCTGTATTTTTCAAATTACCCAAAAGCCGTTGAGATTTAATAACCGATAATTTTTTGCTACGATCTTTAACAATGGACTGATAAGATTTAAAATAATAATAAATCGTTACTAAGAATACGATTAATAGGATAAAAATCGTTGCAGAAAACATGATAATAATCGCTTTCATAAAACTATCTTCAAGTTAGAAACGAAAACAAACGACGATGGCTAACGCATGCGTGTACATATAAGAAAGAACGCAAAAATACTTCTTCACAAAGTATATGTCTTTTCTTCCATAACCATCATTACTTCAATTGCTGTTTTCTTTCCTTGACAATAATTCTTAGAGGTGATCGTTTTCTACACTGATATTTAAAGGAATAATATAACAAAGATAACAATCACTGTAGAAATCAATATTTTTTCTTCAAATTAGAATATATCTAGAGATTATCAAAAAATATATTGTTTATTATCTTTTACTAAATAATCAACAGCAACAGATTTTAGTATTTATTAGCATTGTTATTGGCATGCCGGCTTAAAATGAAACAAGTATAAATTATAAGTTTTGTAAAAAATAAAACAAGTTTAGTTGTCCAATATATATCTGCGCAATCGATTGAAAAAGCCGCTAAGTTGATTTCTTCTGAGAATTAACCATCTTTGAATAGATTCCATTTGATTTCAATAGTTCATTATGTGTACCCTAAATGAATATTATCAAAACAATTTCTTTGTTCAAGATTTTATACTACTTACTTCTTCTTTCATTTGACCTTTATCAATAACAAAAATTTTGTCTGAATTTTGAATCGTTGATAAACGATGAGCAATTGTCAAACTTGTTCGATTCATTCGCACATTTTCTAATACTTCTTGAATTTTTGATTCACTCTTGTTATCTAATGCTGATGTTGCTTCATCAAAAAGAAGAATATTTGGAGAACGAATTAAGGCACGAGCTATGGCGACTATTATTTATTAAACCATAGATTGAAAATTGAAAAATTGTTTTATAAACTTACTTCTTTGTTTTTGTCCAGCAGATAATTGATTACCTCTATATCCACATAATGTGTCATAACCCTAATGAAATAAAATATTTTTAGATATGAAACAAAGTGCTTGTAAAACAAACTTGAGGTAATGATATAATTAAATCATGAATATTGGCTATTTGAGCAACTTTTTCTATTTCGTCTTGAGATAATTCTCGACTATTATCACCATAAGCTATGTTATCACGTATTGAAATATTGAATAGAACTGGTTCTTGTTGAACAACACCCATCAATGAACGAAACCATTGAATGTTAAGTGTACGAATATCATGACCATCAAAAAGAATTTTTCCTTTTAATGGATCATAGATTCGTTGTAACAAATCAATTACTGTTGATTTTCCACTCCCTGATGGTCCAACAAGAGCTATAGAACTATTATCTACACATGTTAATGAAAAATCCCTAAATATTTGAACATTTCGTCTTGATGGATATCGAAAATAGACATGTTGAAATTCAATTCGACCTGTGATCTTGTCCTACAAATTATATAATTACAAATTATTTCAATATGTATATATCGTTATATATAAGGAGAGAGAATTTTTACTAAAATAATTCCTGAATCATCATAAGGATCAATTTGTGATGTACGCTTGATTAGTTTTAGAATTCGCATTGCAGCATGTCTTGCTTTAGAATAATCTAAATTTTGCCCTGTTGCTTGACCAATTTGTTCTGTTGCAATCAGGATAACTACAAACATTCTTAAAATATATTAATTATAATTTTAAAATTCAATTTTTTTCTTTTTAAATTTCATACCTATATACATTTTGAAAAGTCATTTCGCCTTTTTGAACAAGCACACTACCATACGAAAAAGTAACAGCAATGATAAAGAAGATCAAAGAATTAGCAACAGCTGCACCCAACGCTATCATATGTAGGCGACACATATTCACTCTAAATAAATATTTAATTATTTAGATGTAATACGAAAATCAATAATTTTATACTTGAATTCTTGATCAAAAAATTGTTCATAGTTGTTGATAAAATGATTTTCTTGATGAAGAGCGACTACAGTTCGAATATGTTTTATAGCTTCAGAAGCACACTAAATAGAATATAAAAGGATGTAGTCATTATAAATATAGTAGTTTCTCTGTGCGTCTATTTACCTTTCCACCTTGTTCAGAATATGAACCTTTATCTTGTATTTTACTTATATCACCTTGTCTTTGTCCTTGTAATCTGCTTGACAAGAACACTATGGGTATGCAAGGTGAAAGTACTAAAGCCAATTTCCAATCAGAAATAAATCCTATAGTAAAACAAGCTGCTAATGTACTAAGTCCTTGCAAAAGAATACCAATACCAATTCCTGTTAATCCCTATAATATATGTTACTGATTAATTATAGAACAAAGGTCTCTGTTATACTATTTGAACATACCTTAATATCTGCTACGTCTGATGCCAAACGTGTATTTAGAACACTGACAGAGTTTTCTTTCATATCATAATAACTCATTTCTTGTCGAAGTAAGGATGAAAATGTTAATCTACGTATGCGTGCTGTAAGTTCTTCACTAGATTTTCCAAATGAAAAATTTAGAATAAATTGACTGAGTCCACTAACAACACCCGCAAACAAAATACCGATGGTGAAAAAGTTCATTAATCGTTTTTGTTTATCTTCATTTGATTCAGCAAATGAACCGTAAATTCCCGTCACTGAATATGCATATGCTGGTGGAATAAAACCGAAAAGAAGAGATGCTATACTACCAATTAAGATCCAATGCCATTCTGGTATGTTAAATTTTAATATTTGAAACATCAACAATAAATGAAACTGTTTTTTTTGTTTCTCCTCTACATAATCATCGAACGATGATGTTGCAGTATCATCAGTTTCTTTCTCTTCGATAGAATCGCTCAATTCTCGGATATTGTTACGAATAGCTAAAATAATATATAAATGTATTTCAAAACTATATAAAATAACTCACTAGATAATATTTGAGTGTATGATTGTATTATCTTAGCTTCTTCTTTCGTATCTGTTTCAGATGATGATTCATATTGTTTATCGGCGCCTTGTTCATTTACTAGTCCATAATAAAGTCCTTTGTTTTTCATTAGTTCATCATGTGTCCCATACTCAACTATTTGTCCATCATTCAATCCAATAATTGCATCTGCATCTCGAATAGTACTTAGACGATGTGCAACAACAATTGTTGTTCGACCTTGTTTTGCATTGTCTAATGCATCCTGTACAATTCGTTCACTTCTATAATCTATGTACATATATATATGAAATATCTCTTTAACTAAAGATATAGAAATATATTCTACCTAATGCACTAGTTGCTTCATCTAATAACAAGATTTTTGGATTCGAGATGAGTGCACGAGCAATAACAACTAATGAACAATAAAAATAAAAACAAGAAATTTTATATTATTAGATAATAATTCAAACCTCGTTGTTTTTCACCACCACTTAATCTATCACCTGATATTGTCTTATAATTCTAGAGATAATTCATATAAATGAGGAGAAATATGAAAAACTTCATTTGATACCAACCTCAGGAAAATCCATAATAAAATTATGTGCATTAGCTAATTTGGCTGCAGCAATAACTTCCTGATCTGTTGCATCTAATTTTCCTAATCGAATATTTTCTTCGATCGATCCATCAAATAGAACTGGTTCTTGACTAACAATGCCAATATGTGAACGAAGCCAAGCCACATTCAATGTTTTTATATTATGTCCATCAATCAATATTTCACCACTGTCCGGATCATAGAAACGTTGTATCAATTGAATAATAGTACTTTCTAAGTATATAAATAGAATATTTCTATTAGAGAAAAGTCAGTACTTACTACCACAACCCGATGCTCCTACTAGAGCAATCGTTTTACCAGATAGTATTTTCATTGAGAAATTTTGTAAAATCTTAAATATAAAAATAGATCTTAATCATTATAATGACAAGAAAAAGTCATACACAAGATTCTTGTCGTGTAGGATAACTAAATTTTACATTTTTAAATTCAATATCACCCTTGATTGTTTCTGGTTTCTTTCCTTCGTCATCCGAAACATTAACTTTTGACTTCTAATAAATAGATCAATACAATGTTTGCTATGCAAGAACATGATCTGTAATTTACTCGTTCGATCATATCAAATACAAAACTTGCGCTAGCTGATGCTTCTGCAAATGTGTTAAAGCATGGAATAAACTGTGTTGAGAAAGTTGTTACACTCTATTTAATAGAGTATTTCAGTTATTTAATTTTAATCAAAGAAAGAAAATCAACGTACTAGACATGAGTTCAATATCTAAATAATTTGAAAAAAATCTAAAAAGCTATTTTGATATAAAATAAACTCACTACGAATAATGCTCCAGGTGTGTAATGCTGACTTTCAGTTTGTACCAATTTCAAACCATACCAAAATGTTAATGTAATAGCTGAAAAACTAAGAAGTTGTCCAAGACCTTGACTTATGCCCATGTATAAACTTTTTCTAATTCCGACGTGTTTTGCTGAGAATAGATTCTGACTATATCTATATATGGAAAATCATCGATAGTTATAGATTAAATAATGATACAAACCGTTCTTCTTCTTTCTGTTGACCATGAAATGATGTTACTGTTCGAATATTTCCTAATGCTTCTTCAGCAATTGATGATGCTAAGCTATATGCTTCTATCTCTTTGACACTGTATTTAACAATTATCTACAATTGAAACAAATCCATCAGTATCGACAAAATAAAATTAGTTTCTTATTGTTATATTACTTACTATAATAGTTATTTTGTACATAAGAATAATCAAAGGTGATACTGATAAAAAGACAAGTGACAATTTCCATCCGATTATCAAAGCATATATAAGCACACAAATTGCTTTTGAAACTAGTGACACAAAATCCGGTACTATTTCACTAGAGAAACTAGATTACAAAAATAAAAACCTTTTATGTTCTTCGTACCTGATGCCTTTTTTTACTTTATCTAATAATGTAAAAACATACTTAGCAACGAGAAAATTAATAAAATTTGTTATTTATTTACCTAGATCATCATTAAGACGATTGTTCAATTCACCAATATTATGAGTATCAAACCAACCGATTTCTTGATAAAGAATGTTTCGAAAAAGTTTACAACTATACATATAAATATTTACAGTTATAAAACTAATTATAAACTATTTTTTTTCTCTACCGAATACGTCGTATTTGTCTTTCAGCTGCAATCATCCAACTTGTCCATGCCACCCAATGAAGAAATAGACTTATACAACCAATGATAATATAATTTTTACTAATCGATTGTATAACATTATATGGTGATGTTCTACTATGTTTATTAGATGAAAAGGTACTTTGACTAAAAAAGCAAATTAAACCATATTCCTAGAAAAACTACAATATTATTACCATTTATTTGAATTGATTGTATATTGATTTGCACTTGTCATTGTTATGCTATTGTTTCCCATAAGAATAAGATTATTTAGTAGTTGGCGATTAAAATAAAATATTGATGCATAAGAAACTAAGAAAGAATAAATCATCAGTATTGCATCTATTCTTTTCTCTTCCTTAGTCACTTACCACCAGTTGCCAATGCTTAAAACAAAACAAAAAAGAATTATTACAATTTTCAATAAAAATTATAGCTAACCAGCAACTATTCCAATAATCATTAGAAAAATATCAATTTTATCAGCAAACTTGTAAATTTCGAATAATTTTAATCGACGATTTGATGTATTCTTCGATGGTTTTGTCCATTTTCTTAATAAACTATTCAACAACCAAACACTTTCTCTTTCATTCTTTCAATAAATAGCAAAATGATACTAACGGAATTCTTGATAAAAAGGTAAATCGATGTTTTTTACTAGATACTATTGATATGTTATCACTCTCAAATGAAATGTGACTCGATGTATCTTTATTATTCTGATTATTTGATTCCTTTTTCTTGACAACGTTTTCTAAATTACTATCATCATGACGGGACGTCATTCTGTATTTGTTTAACGTAAAAATATTATTTGAAATAGATCTAAAAGATATATAAAAATATTTTCTAATCAGTGAACAAGAAATGACGAAAAGTGTCGAAACTCATATTTTACTCATCGATTAGACTTTGTATATCTAATAAAACCTCGAATGAATTTTGTTCTAGGAGACTTTCATTTAAATTTAACATCACCTCAATAAAATTCGAATATAAATCACATGAAGCATAACTCATTTGAGGTTGTATCAGCTACATCAAGTTGAATCTATGGACATAATTAAAGCTCCACAGATTTCTTTTGCCAGCATTATCGAACAACTTATATCATCACTGTTCATTTTATTTTAATGAGATGGTGAACAAATTGACTTGTTTTTATTGCTTACAACAAATACTTACTAACAAATATGCCTAAATGTGATTATAAAAAGCGACAAACATAATAATAAATTTGATTCGAATACTAAACAGATATCTTCTATATAAATGGAGAGTAATTGTTCGTTATAGATGCATATGTCTATTATCAACGTCAATGATACAGATTTATATCATGTTTTTTTATTTCGTTATTTTAGCTGAATGTATTGTTTTTAACTTGACAGATTACATATGTCTATTGACGTCGATATGTTCTATACATAGCAATTCAAACGTACTGAGTTACTTCGTATATTTATCATCAACAACGTGATAACGTGTACACGCATGCTTGTCTTTTTTATCGTCATCTATACTCTCTGACATGCGTGTACATATAATTCTTCTCCAGAATTTTGTTGGATGAAAAAAGAGATAATTATCTTTGTTAAATTAACAAAATTTAAAATATTAAAAACCCTTCTTTTTCTTCACTAACCTACTAATTTGTTATATTTCACTTAAACAGAATAATAAAGGATTGGATAATGGCTCAGTCGATATAGGAGAGAAATGTAATTTTTTGCATAAGAGCATCTGCAATACAAAATTTTGCATACTGATGAACTTTAAATTGAATTTTGGCAATTTATTCGAATCCATTTCAGATTCGAACAGAAGTATTATTAACGTATTATCACGATCGTCTCTATCGTGTATGAGCAACAGACCGAAGCAAATGATAAAAAATAGATTTAAATATACAAAACTCATTTCAATTATTATAGTTGATGAAAATCTGATAATATGTATACATATACTCTATTAGATTGAATTTTCTCTTGAGTACTTAAATTTAATTCAATGTATAAAACTCACATTTTCTAAAGTTACAATATTCAAAGACAGAATATATGCCATTTGTTGTTTTGTTTTTAAATAGCTGGTAGAAATAGTATCAACGATTTCAAGTGAATTCATCAATGTAGATTATTATTCAGAAAGTAAAGAGAATGAAGATCAATCAATGAAAAAAAAGATGTAGTAGATGAAAGTAAAACTATATCGAAGATGATTGATCAACAAGAACAATCTTCATAGCCGATTAAATATGTTTTATTGTCACATCATCCATCAATAACATCTTCACTAAAAGATCATTTTAAAATATCACAAAGAACTTCCCTGTAAGAATCTAAATTAGTCTCTCTCGAAGATCAACAACAATTGTGGTGAATTGAAACAAATTCTTAACAAAGTATCTTGAGGATGTGGGTGTGAGTTTAAATGACCTTCCACACCACACCCGCCTACCCGCACCCACACTCACACCCTTAGTCGTATTCTATTTAAAAAGAATTCCGTATGAAAACTTGGAACTTTATGTAGTGCTATAGTTAGATTTTTTGAGCGAACAAATGAGAGTAATGTCTTCAATGTTTGTGGATATTTTCCCAATAATTTTCAAGACCTTCGCATTCCTTGTATAAGTCTCGCATACGATTGTTGATCAGTTGAGATTGTTCCTTACTCATAAATGCTTTCCATTGATTATTTTCTCCTTTATGCACAAAATCCAGCTGTCCGTCGTAACAAGTTAATCTGAATATTGTCTCAATCAATGCGTTGAATTTGTCTTCTGTTTCTGATCGAGAGATTGTCGACAGTATGTCGTTGGAAGTGGATGTAGATGATGACAATTTAGTCCATGGATTAGGTTTTTGAGAGAATTCACGTCGTGTATTATTATAATTCTTTTTCATATAATCAAACGACGAATAATAAGCGGTGACATCAACAAGTTGATCACTAATGTTGTCTATTTCAATAAATTGAGCAACCTAGATAAAGAAGAATAATCTTAAAAACTTTGTTATACGCATCATAGTATTAATTATTGAAAAAGTTTCTTGAAATGACAGAACGATTCATATACCTTATGTATCACATTAATCACATCACTCTTCATGTCTTCGTAAGCAACTAATAGCACATTTTTATCGTTTCGTCGTTTCCATGTTTGGCGCAAATGATCAAAATAATCGCCATATATTACGCGACCATTAATGAAAAGATCAAAAAATTCATTAAAATCTAGTTTCAGAATATGTCCCATGGGTGAGGATTGATAAAAAGCATAGTAACTGACACAAACAGCTTTTGGATCTCGCACAACACAAATATATTTGGCTGATGGATTATTTGAGATACGATTCAACGGAATATGTGTTTTGATGACACCAGGACGGCGCATAATTAATTTAATACCTTCAGCACCATAAGCTTCTAAATACATGCTTCTTTCAATAAAATCTAGGATATCCTCATTGAATGGTTGTCCATTTGTCTGCAAGGTATAGATGATCGATTGCATTCTTGTTGTACCAGATCTTGGATATGAAACAATAAAAATATCATTTGGTTGAGCTTCATATTGAAGAGCCGACCGAATCATATCGCTATCCCACACACTAGATATACAAATACCATCGACCCACTTGAATACTGTAGCATCTTTTTCAGTTGAAGCCATCGTTGTAAATTTACGTTACTCTTATTACCTTTTACTCGACGCCCTTATAGATTAATATAATGTTTATACAACGTGATAGTAATGCACACACGGTAAGCAGAAAGGCAGAAATATAAATCGAAATAAGATGAGCGCCACAAAAAAAAGTTACAACCAGCCGCTACACATGCAATCGCTCATGCATGCAGTATATGTATTAGATCAGTTATTGAAAACACAACCATCGATATTAATTGCGCTTTTGGACTTGTCTGTGAAACTCATATATGTAAAAGAAATTGATAAAAATCCGATTATGATTGATTTTGATACAAAATATTAGAAAAACTCAATTGGCTATCGTAACGTAGTTTGTGATTAAATCTGATAGAATAATCGATTATCCAACACAATCTAAACAACATAGACGGTAACCTCGATTGGTCGAGATCGATTTTTATGAATTAAATATAAAATCAATTTAATACATATATAGGTTTTTGACTTATCGCTTCGAAATATTTTAGCGTAGTCAGTTGTTTTTCTTTTTCATTTATAAATCACTAATAACCTTCGGTTTAGTTTTAGATAAAAAAAATATGTCGTCGAAATATGAAGAAAAAGATTGGATGATTGAGTTAGGTGTGCGACCTAATAAAATGTCTCCGATGGATCCACCTTCAATTAATAATAATAATAATGAAGATTATACTCGTCTTTTATTATCAATGTATGCAATGACATTAGGAGAAAATTTATTATCACATAATATAGATCCTTATATTATTGAACATATTGAAATGGAAAAAGAATTTATGGAACAAGATGATTTAGCTTTAGTTTGGTCGGATGATATTTCATTAACATTATGTTTTCTAGTAAGTTTAGCTCATCATGGAGATTATTGTCAAGATCATTTATTAAAAAGATATTTTCAATGGTGGATGAATGGGTAAAAAAAGCTAATCTTTTATTTAATCAAAATAAAATAAATTTTCTAGTTACATGTGTCCAGCAGGTCATTGTTTTACACCACGTGGTCATCTTAAGAAATCAATTCAGTTATTTCGTGAAACTCAAGCTGCTCAAACATCAGGTATTTCAGTTGATATGGATAGAAAAACTAGTAAATTAATTGCAACACCTTCATTATTACTTCGCTTATCTCCAATTGGTTATTTCTATTGTAAACATTCTTATTCTAAACGTAATGAAATAGCAAAAGATTTAGTTGAAAGAATGTTTGGAAAGAAAACTTCAACTGATATATTTACTGAATATATTGAATTACTTGTTAATTCACTTAATGGTCTTTCAAAAGAAAATATTCTTAAAAAAATTAATATGAAATTAAATTCAAATGATCTGATAAATAAAACATTTTTTGATTTAATTGATTTATTATCAAATGATAATAATAATATTGAACAAGGAATTAAATATGCATTAGAGAAAATATATTCTTCTAATAAAGAATGTAAATATCTTAATCCATTTGATTCAAATGAAACGATTCTTTTAACACTTTATTTACAAATAAGTTCTGCAATTTATAATACAATACCTGAGAACTTATTTCAACAAATTTATGCAAAAGAAACAATTGAATCTTTAGCGAAATGGATTATTTATGAAAGAAATCAGAACTTACATTCAATTTAATTATTATTTCAAGAGAATATTGACGAACATCTTCATATGTATCCCATAAACAATTTAATAAATATTCCATCGAATTTTTATCAAGTAATTCATAAAAATCATAGAGTTTAGATTTTTCTATAATGAATAAAAAAAACTTTTATTTTTTCTTGAAATAAATTTGATTTAAAATATTTACGACAAACTGTTTGAATTCCTTCATTTCCATGTAAATGAATTAACCAATGAAGTGTTAATATTGATAAATGACGTTGTGAATAAGATCCTTCCAAATATAAATGAGAACAACACCAATTTATTAAACATTTTAAATAAGTCTGAAATAAAAAAAAAAGATTTTTAAATTTCGTTTTTTTGTTAAAATAATTTTACTCGATATCGTTCTGTTAGATTAGCAAAATCTTGATCAATATTTTTTAATTTTTGTCTTGCACATAATAACCAACTATCTTTTATACGAATAAAATGCTAAAAAAAATAATTCCAAAATACTTTTTTAAGTAATGATATTGCTTGATTTCTAAATGATATTGAACCATTATCAATATTCATTTGAAGGAAATATTTTATTAAGTCAAATTCAATATCAATTATATATTCAGTTGTTTTTGGATTTTCGCAAAGAATAAATAAACAATCAGGACATATCTTAACATAATAGATTTCATTTTAATTATTCATTTAAAATTAAAAAAAATCTAATACTTGTTCATCTTCACTTGTTATTCCTTGGCGAATTAAATTATGTTCAATTAATGAAAATGTTGAAAATATATTTGGACATAAATCTAATATTCGACCAATACGTGTACAAACAATCAGTGTTCGAGGATTAACTTTAATTTAAAAGAAATTTATTAGAAAAAAACAATGTTTATTTTGTAATAACCTGTTATTTCTTTTAAATCTTGTAAATATTCTGGATGACCTTTAAGGATTTTTGGTAAAATATACTAGAAGAAAAAAAAAATCTATGTAAATAATTTAATAAAAAAAAAGATTTACTTCAGCAATAAGAAATCGATGCAATGGTGTTGATGTATCGAGTGCATGAACAACTGGTTTTAACCAAATTTGTTTCCATTTATCTTTTAATTTTTCTTCATGATGTTCATGACATAAAACATAATAAAGATAACTTGCCTTAAAAAAAGAATATTTATTTATTTCATAAATATTAATAAGTAACGCTCGTCTAATTCTTGTAGAAATCGCATTACTAATCAACTACCAAGCTATTGATGTATATAATTAAACAAAATAGAAGTCAGATTTGAATTCTTCGACTTCGCTTTTAAAAAAATTCCTTTTATATCTTTGCCTAATTTTTCATCTACTCATTGATGTGCGAATATACAACCAATCAGACAATTTATGTTTACTGGACTCAAAAGAATATATATTTATAATTTTAACAAGTAACGCTCGTCCGAGGACTCGCTTAGCTCTTTCTCGTAGAAACGCATCTTCTTCACATTTACTGAAAAAACAATTAAAAACCGTGAAAAATAGGTTTTTGATGTTTTTTTTGACCCTGCGGACAGACAAGCAAGCAATTAATCAGACAATTTATGTTTACTGGACTCTTCTCTACGAGAAAGAGAATATTCTACAAACATATCTATCATTATTAATAGATAAACAATGAAATTTAACATTTAAAACTAAGATAAGCTCATAATAAATATTCGAACGTTCAGATTTAATTAACAACGGTAGAAATAGAGGTGTAAGCCGTCAGCCGATTTTTGCTGAAGCCGACGGCTGGCAGCTTCCGTTTTTGCTAGAGCCGACGCGCGTCCAAGCTGACGGCTTACACCTCTAGGTAGAAAAGTTTTCTATTCTGAATATATATATATTTGAATTTCATAGATTAAATTTTCAGTCGTTTTCTTCATTCTTGTATTGACAAATATTTGATTATATTATTAAAGAAACAAAAATTTAACTTACAATTCAAGTAAATGATATCGAATAATAAAGCTAGTACACATCAAACAGAAACAAACAAAAAGAAGAAATGAAGAGTATGGAGTAGTCAATATATGTATAGCATACAAGATAAATTGTATATGAGAAAAAAAGCAAAAAAATGAGCACCACAAAAAATTCTCTTCATCTGATCTATGGATTAAAGATCAATATACAAAAAAAAATTGAGAGTATTAAATCTGACGAATTGTTTATTTATAATGGAATTTTAATTTTGAAATTCACTTAGAACATGTAATGGTTCAAGACGTTTTTTAACAGTACTTTTCTTTGTACGTGAATTAGATTCATTTTGTCGTTCATTTAAAACCAATGGTTTCTTTTCTGGTAAACGCATTTTCCATTGAACAATCGGCTAATAAGAAAAGAAAACAAAATGAAAACATTCTGGTAAATATTACAATTAACTTTACCTCTTTATTGCCTGATTTATTACGATATTTTGTTGATGCAATATACGATGCTTTAACAGTAAGTACAACAGCATTCATCAAATTTTTTGCTGCTGTAATTAATGAAGTAGCACTATCAAGCTAAATATGAAAATAATATAAATTTAGAAAAATAAAGTTTTTATCTATAATAAAATACATACACCGCTAACAATTAATTCTCCGCTTATATTTTGTACATCTGCTTTAACTTTACTAGTAATATCCAATTGATGACAATATAAAGTAATACCTCAAAAAATAAAAGGAAAAATGAATATTGATGAACATATTGAAATTATACTTACGATCAACATAAGCAACAAGATCAGATTTTGATTGAGATTCAACACACTAGAATAAATATGATTATTATTATTATTATTAGATTAAATAAATCATTTACTTGAGCAGCAATGTCTTTAGCTATTTTATTTAATTTGGAACCACATTCAGAGATCATTTTTGCAGCATTAATAACATCCATTGTAGTACGTAATGGTCCACGACCACTAAAGTAAAATAAAATCAAAATAGTTATTTTATTTGAAATTGAATATTTTTACCGTGTAAAATCAGTCATTTCCATCATAATCATGCACATCTTCTTAGCAAGAACAATAATATCATTACCACGATCATCCCATTTGAGTACTTCACGTTCAAAATCACGTTTAGTTTTCTTAAAACCTTCAACTTGTAATTCAATTTGTTCACGTTCTTCTTTTGGTAATCGTCTCATCATATCCTAAAATGAATAATATAATTATAAGAAACATATTATTATTTTTAAATCTATTCATACTCGACTAGGATTATCATTTTTGCCTGGATACATTTCAAGATCAGGTTGTTGACTATCTGATGATGGTCCATGACTTGATGTTTGAGATTGAGCATAAATTTCATCATTTAATCCTTCATCATCATCACTTGGCCATTCAAGATCCTATTAAACAAATTCAAATATAAATATAAGAATTTTTGTTATAAATTGTAAGTAAAAAGTGATGAGTACATATATATATATAAATATATAAGCTCGAGAAATTAGAGCAACCATAGCCGAAGCATTTTTTTCACCCTTATCCACGAATTACTACATAAGCATATTTAAACTTATATTGGATTAGATAAAAACACAAACTTACCCATAAATATTACAACTCTTTTCTTTATATTTATGTACTCACATATAGATAGAAAAAGTAAAGATAAATCAAATTATATTGACTAATACTAATTTGTTGTAATATAATTAAATAGATATATAAAAAAAGGAACGGAGAACTGTGTTATAGATGCAGATGATAAAATTAATTAAGAATATACATTTAAAAATTTGCAACATATATAATCGATGTTACATTTAAAAATCAAACTTATCATATGAAATTTTTATAAAATAGATGTATCCTAAGTTTTTTATTTTATTTTCAATCTCTTTTTTCATTACAAAATGTATATTCTTTAGTAATTCTATCAATTCTGCATTATTATTGTTTCTGTGTTTCCTGAGATAAAAAATAATACTGACAAAGCAAAAAGCGAATGTTTCTTATATTTATCAAAATTGATAAATTATGTTCGAAATATTCGATTGATAGTTCCCTTTGGAATAGGTCTTGCCGTACAAGATAAATCTTCTGTTGATGATGAAAAAATACAGTTAAGGGCTTTATTTCGTCGTATTTGTGGTTGCTGTCCCATAACGAGAAAAACAGAACGTACCGGATTCATTAATACACTATTACGAATATCACGTATACCGTGATAAACACTACTCGATGCTTCAATTAATTCTTGTTCAATTAATTCAAACTAAAAGAAAAAGAAGAAAAATTTATTTTCTAGAAATAAAATAATTTTATTTTGTGTCGAATTACTTTTCCATCATCACATCCTGATCTCATACGAAGTGTATCAATTGCTATTTTAATTCGTTCCACAAAACATGGCATAACTGAAAAAAGAAAAATTTGTTTACTTTTCGAGTATAAAAGGTTGTAACTTTTCTACATACTTTGATCACGAAGAACTCGAATACTTTCCATAACACCTTCAGTATATTCTCCTGGTTCATATTTTTCCATTTCTGATGTAACAACATCAATAACACGACCTGATCGACCTCGAATAGCTCCTGCTGTACGATCAACACCTGAAATTTAAAAAAAAACAATAATAAAAATTAAATGAGTATGACATTTAATATACGATCGGGATTTCGTTCAACCATTGCTTGAATACATAAATTAATATCTTCAAGAATATGATTTTCTGAAACTGCAAGAAAATCTTCAATTGTTGTTATTTCATCAACAGCTTCTGTTAATAATCGAACATGTTTTTCCCATGTATCACGAAAAACATCCATATTCTCTAATGCTACTTTCGATGTTGATCGTGCAGCAAGTATTCGAGCAGCATTAACAACCTGCGAAAAAAAGTATATCATAATTATTTTTATTTCGTTTAATATTATACTAACTTGTGGTGATAAATGTTGAATTTGCATAGCAGCTAAACGAACAAGTTTAATACCTTCAACTTGATCAGACATTGAACAAGCAACAT